GTGAATAAGGTGGATGAGGACACACCATAATGTTTCTATTTGACAAAAATTGCCGTATACCAGAAGCGATCTGTGATACGGAGTGTTGTCATGATGGAGGATGAAGTAAAGACACGAAAGAGGACTTCCAGAGCTGCTTCAGAAAGTGCAAGCACGGCGGGATAAGTATGTTCGAAGCGAGGGGGGGTATTTTGAGGGGGATTAATGGCAATGTGTCTTTTACTGTAATACATTCTTTTATTTAAAAATTCACAGTGTTTTGTGATCACACCTCATATACACGTATATCATGTAAGGTGGAAAATCAGAGCCACTATTGTCCAAATTTAGCCCCCAAAAGACCCACAGGCTCCATGTCGGTGTTTTAGGAAACAGGCTTCTATCCTTTCCTTCTACTCACTGAATGTATCTGAGCATGAGGTAGTTCCATATATCTTCCATTTGTATCTGCTATCGTTCTTTCTAATCAATAACCAAGCAAGCTTTTTAAAATCAATAACCAAGCAAGCTTTACACCCTCTCTGCGAACAAGGTAATAATCAGCCTGACAGATAATTTCTCATAGGCTGACCATATTCAAACAAGTAATTACATTCGGCAAAATAAATAAATAAAATTGCCCTCATTTACTGTAATTTCCAGGCAAGTGGCTAACTGCAAGCCTGCTTTTTCCATCACACAAATCCTGCAGCGCATAAAATTCAAGAGGAACGCAGTATCAGCAGAGATTACTCAGTCTCCAAATCCTAAATTAAAGGGCATCTTCTTCCTGGTACTCTGGCAGGCTAAACTTTTTTCTAAATACGCCTCTGGATAATCACAAATTTGACTTCGAAAGAAATGACCTGGACGCACTTAGAAGTGAGTGACAACCTCCACCAGTTCTTTGCCCTGCAATTCTCCCAGCTGTGGCCTCCACCTAAGACCTTGGAGGACACGGCATGTGACACACTGCCAGGATGGTAGTCACTCCAACCAGCAATCAGCTGCAAGGGCCTTTCACCACGTCCAGCCTGGGCTAGGGCTCCGTGATGGGACCAAGGCCGCAAAGCCAGGCCGAACCCCTGGGTGTCAATAAAGGGTTCAGTGAGCCCAGGGGAGGAGACGAGAGCTGCCTGGGGTCACTGATTCTGGACTGCAGAGCCTCCGTGAGGACTGTAGCGTCTGAGCTGGACATTACAAGCTGACAAAAATACTGAGAGGCAAAAATCAGAGGTAAAGGCACGCCAAGCAGAGGCCATCATCTGAGCAAAGGTGGGACCGTGGGAATATGAAGCATGGAGTGGGGAGCACACTGG